TAGATAGATAGATAGATGATAGATAGATAGATAGATAGATAGATAGATAGATAGGTAGATAGATAGATGATAGATGGATGGATGGATAGATAGCTAGATAGATAGATGATAGATGATACATGATGATAGATAGATACACAGATAGATGATAGATAGATGATAGATAGATAAAGATGATTGATAGATAGATAGATGATAGATAGATAGATAGATAGCTAATAGATGGATGGATGGATAGATAGATAGATGATAGACAGATGATAGATGATGATAGATAGATAGATGATAGATGATACATGATGATAGATAGATAGATACACAGATAGATGATAGATAGATGATAGATAGATAGAGATGATTGATAGATAGATAGATGATAGATAGATAGATAGATAATAGATGGGGATAGATGATGATAGATAGATGATGATAGATACAAATAGATGGTAGACGATGATAGATAGATGGATATATAGATGACAGATGATAGATAGATAGATAGATAGATAGATAGATAGATAGATGATAGATAATGGAGAGATAGATAGCTAGCAAGATAGATGATAGATAATAGAGAGATAGATGATAGATAGATGATAGATGAATAGATGATATATTGCTACATTTTTTTTTATCACCAGTTTTTTGAGACAGGGTTTTCCTGTGCAGTATAAGGAGGCCTTGGACTCCTGTTCGATAGATAGATAGATAGATAGATAGATAGATAGATAGGTGGATAGATAGATAGATGATAGAGTTAATAGTGCAAAAAGAATGGAAATGAAGATGAAAAAATGAATGATGTAAGAGAGTTGAAAAAGAGCAGATATAAATAGGGGCGTTAGATACTAGATGAAAATGTAGTTAGACAAAGTAATAAAATAAGGAAGAGAAGCAGTGTTTGGAGAAAATTTCCTCACAGATCTTGTGTCTGTTTGAATATTTACACCAAAGGAATAAAGGATGACCTAAACTTGTGGTGAGTGATATAAACTGAGATACTGAGTGTAGTGTAAACTGGCCCACTCTTGTGATATACTGCAGGAGATTTCTGGTCAAGTTCCTTGGAGATTAAGAGGGAAGAAGCAATGGAGATCCACCTAGAATTACTGAGGCTCACCATCTTCTCTATTTCCACAGATAATGTAGAAGCACCATCAAGGGTCTGTCACCTCCTTTGCAGGTACAGCTCAAGATCCTTCACTGTATTCGTCAGTTTTCTGTTGCTGTGATAAAACACTGGCCAAAGAAACTTATAGAAAGAAACATTTATTTGAGCTTACAGTTCCAGGTTCCAGAGGGATTACAGTTTGTCGTGGTGGGTAGACATCATGAGGTGGCCAGAGCAAGAGTAGAAGCCTAAGCATGGTCACATCTTCAAGCAGGAACAGGGAACAGAGGATGCCTGGAACTACAGCAAGGCTTAAGAAGTCTCTAAGCCCATTCTCAATTCCTCCAGCAAGACCACATCTTTTAAGATCTCCCAAAACAGAACCACCAACTGGGGACAAAATGACCAAATACTTGGAGCCTAGGGAAACCATTCTCATTCAAACCCCCACAATGACTTTACTTATAAAAATGCTTTGAGACCCACCTTATCACCTTCATGGTCAGATAGGAAAACTAAAGTGTCTTCAGAGTAGATACTACAACTAGTCTATGACTCAATTTAAAAATAAATCCTAAATGAATCTTTTAATCAAGACTGAGCTCTTAACAAGCATGGCATTATGAAGCCTCATGTCAATTGCAACTTACTTAAGAAAATATTGTATCTGTGTTAGTGATTGAAAAACAGTGCATTTATTTTTGTCAGTCCAGGACTGACTGTTGTTCAGCTTGATTCTGTGCTCAGGGTACCACTAAGCTACAGTTATGATCTTACCTGAAGCCCCTATCCTCTTCCCAGGGTCACAGACAGTGACAGAATTCATTTCCTGGTGGTTTGGGGATTACAACCCTCACCTTCCAAAGGCTGTCCACAGTAACCTGCCACAGTGCCCGCTCCATATTTCTTCTATACATCCATCAAACATGTTGCATTTCTTGATTCTTGAAGAATTGGCTTGCTAAGTAATACTCATTCAATGTTATTCCTTCTAGACTGACATAAAGTCACCTCATCTAAGAATTTAGGTCTAGCTACAAAATTCTTTCCTCTTTGCCATAAATGAATATATGGTCAGGAGAGTAACATGTCAACCCATATTTGGTATGAAAATTGAAGTAAGCAAGTTAGAACTTCTATTGGTTCTCAATGGGAAAGATTATATAGGACCTGAAACTTTGGGAACTCCCCTGGAATTCTACCTTGGACAAAGTATGCAATAATAAATATTTTAAGGCTTAATTTATATCAGGCTCTATCCAACTTGAAAAGCCTCTTCTTATTTCTCAGAATCATTGGAGTTCATGAAATTGCAGTTTCAACATTAGAATAGTAAGAAGTATAACTAGGTCTTTAAATTTCTGTATTTAATAGCTCTTATGAAAACATCTGTGATTTTCAGATGTCAACAAATGAACTGTTTCTCTTTATGATCCTTGTTCTAGTAGTCAAAGTAGTCAAAGCAAAATAGTTGTCTCAGAACAGAGGAAAGATACAGCCATTTTGCATAAATGTAAGCCTGTTTCAGCTCTTATACCTCAATTATAGCCCTCAAAATGTGGGAAAGATCAGCTATTTCATCTAAATTCTTTCTACTCAAAGAATGCACCTCAGATCCTCTGAATTTCCTAGAAGTTCTCAAATACAGGATATCAACTTTGGGACTCCTTGTGATCCAGCATTTTTAAATACTAAGAGGTTTGTGTGCATATAAGTGTTTGAAATTCACCCAGGAAAAAATGCATTGTATTTATACATTTGTTTCTTTCTACTCAAAGAATGCACCTCAGATCCTCTGAATTTCCTAGAAGTTTGTGTGCATATAAGTGTTTGAAAGTCACCCAGGAAAAATTGCATTGTATTTATACATTTTCTTGTGCATATCTGACATTGGATATTATTTCCCTTAATTTTTTGTTTTGAAAAGCAATATCTAGCAAAGCCTTCCAAATTCCTTTCAAATACTTAATCACATCTGAATGAAGGTACTTATCATATTTGCAACTGGAGAGGTAAGGCAGATCAATGATTATACCTTTGTTTCTCTTTTTCTCTAATCCTCCTATTTTGATCAGCACACACTTAGATCTGCTAAAATCTCGTCTTTCTATATGATAGAAAACAGATGAAATTTTCATGAAGCAATAAAATCAAATGGAAATGCTCTCTTAGCTAATAGATGAGATGAATATAGAGATAGTTCAGTCTGCTAAACTAGTCTTTTTAAATTTCATTCCCCATTAGCAGGGACACAAAAATTTAGAAAAGGGTAGTATAATACCAGCTCCTTCTCATTCCTAGGGAGCCTACACTTAACAGTGATCAGAAAAACCTATTTGTCATCTGTAATGTGGTACACTGTAATTATTTGAAATCAAATTTTATAGACGTTTCTTGCACTAAGAAATTCCTCCAAAATAATAGAAATATTGTATTCTATAATAAACATATGATAGAGTCAATATTTGGCTCTATAACCATTAAGTTCGATTTAAAATTTTGAGAAGTAAGATGGAGAGAGCTTACACTATCTAAAACAGTTCTTTCTATATTTGAAGTTGTCAAAGAAATGATGATTTTGCTGTAGTATTTTCACAATAAATTATATTTAAATCAGTAAGAAGTTCAATATAATCATTATATTTTCATTTTTGTGAAAGGCAAATTTGCTCAAAATCAACTGTTCTCTGTGAAAAACTGACTTAGTGTCATCAGTCATTGCTCACTTGTTTGAAGATAACGCTGATCAGAGTGGTTTGGAATGAAAGCTCCACCCCACAGATTGACTGCACCCTTGAGCCAATTGCCCGAACTACTTCAGCCTCGGTTTCATAAGTTAAAATATTAGTAAATCCTTACCTAATTAGGATGATAAAATGGGTATTCTATGCAAAGTAATTGATGCAATAATTAGCAAGTATAAATGCTCAATAAAAGAGCTATTACCATTGCTATAGACTGGTGAATGTACATCATAAAAACTTTATTTTGGGGCTGAGTAGATGGCTCAGTCAGGAAGTACTTCCCATACAAACATGAGGACCTGAGTTTTACTTCCCCAGAATTCATGTAAAGTGCCTGACACAGTGGTCTTATGCCTGTGCTACCAGTGTTGGGGAGGCAGAGGCAGAAGGACTTTTAGAGTTTACTGGTCAGTTAGTGAAGCCCAATCAGTGAACTTAAGGTTCATTGACAGACTCTCTCAAAAGTTAATGTGGCTGCTTCCCTGGTAAGGGTGGTAGCATGATTACGAAAGCAAAGCATTTTATCAAGGCAAGGCTCATCTATTGCACTCCAGGTGTGCTGATCCCTGAAACTTCCCAAAATGGTAGAAACTTGACCATGTAATTAGTGGTACTGGGGAACTGCATTACCACTTTCCCTTTACATAATGTACTTTTAAAACTTAGTGTAGAGAAGACCTGATGTTGGTCTCTGGCCTTTACACATGTACCTACACACACACACACACACACACACACATATGCACATACACAAAAACATTATCTTCAGTTACTCTGAAAATGTCTAACACATTTAACTACCTGAGTAGCTAGAGCTCTCTTTTTTGTTTGTTTGTTTGGTTTCTTGAGACAGGGTCACCCAGTAGCTCCTTCTGACTTGAACTCATTATGTAGAATAGGCTGGCCTCAATCTTACTGAGATCCATCTACCTATGCCACAGGTGTGCTGGTGTTAAAGGTATGCTGTCATAGCTATCCAGGCTGAGCTCTTAGTTTTTCATCAAGATCTGTGATGATAACTCAGACCAAGGCTGTGGTGCATATTATCAAAGGTCCTGACATCAGCACAATAGTTTCCAGCTGTCTAATGCTATTCTCACATGTTGTTATTGGCTAAAATAGAAAGTTTCATCTGGGCAGTTATCTTAGTTCAGAAAACAACTGTTCTCCTATTTCATTGTTTCAAGAGTACTTAAAAACATTGACAAATACAATAAAAATATTAAGACATTTAGTTGTTTAGTTAGTAATAAACAATCATTGCCAGGAATAAGTTAGAAAAATTAAATATGATTTCACAAATGATTTTACCAGTGTTCTACATAAAATATAGAAACAAAACCTGAATTTTCAAAGTTTTCCTTTAATACGCCTTTGCCAAATGTTGATCTGCTTTGAAAAGTGATTTTTATGTAAACCAAAACATTAGCATTACACTAAATTTCAGGGACATGTGATTGAAGCTCAGCTATCATCAGAAGGTGCAATCAACACATGTAAAAATATGGACAACGCATGATGGATGATATGATTTGGATATGAAGTGCTCTCCCCAAAGGCTCCTACGTTGAAGACATGATTTCCTACCCATGGATTCACTCACAGAGAGTTGTTGGGATTATGAGGACTCTGAACTAATGAACACATTAACATAGTGATTGATTCATAATTGAATGGCTTATTGGGAGATGATAGAAACTTTAGTAGGTGGTACTTAGGTGGAGGAAGTAAATGACTGAGAGCAACATTTTGGGGGGGCGGTCTATGTTGACCTGGGAACACTTCAGTATCCTCTACTCTCTTTCTCTTAGTTTTTTACACACCTCCTTATCTCTCCTTCTTGGATCCTATGTGGTGAGCAATTTTATTCTATACCCATTTCTTTTATGTTCTACCATCCCATGACACAGAAAAAATAAAGCCAGCCACCATATATGGAAACCTCTGAAACATGAGCCAAGCTGAGCTCTCTGTCTGATAGGCTGATTCTATCAAGTGTTGAGTTACAGCAATGAAATGTCTGTCTGTCGTATTAGAACATATTAAAGACACTCATTTTCATAAACTACAACATTGTCAAGTTTTATACAGTATATAGAAATCTCTGTGAAAAATGGAAGAGAATTGTGAATGGAAAGTAAATGGTTTTAGAAGGTAGCATTTGTTCACTCATATATTCAATGATTGAAGTATACATGGAGGTCACTTCTCATTGCACAGGAAGACCTTTCCAGTTATAGAAGAAGATCTGGCTTGTTTGTGAAGACTAGAGTATAAACTATGAACAGAAAAAGAAGGATTTAACCATTTTGCTCTTGATCGTGAGGGAGACAATTCTGAATAGAGGAGGAAGTGTCTTGAAAAATTGTGTTGGACAGCGTACTTCTACTTTATTGACTACCCATTTTTAGAGATTCTAATAGCAAGGGTTCCATAGAAAGAATGATATCAGCTATGTGTTGCAGGGAGCTGTGCTGCAAACAGATGTCAAATTCAATTGCGCTTAATCTATCTGAAGAAATGCAGAACTATGGCTACCTGCTGGAAACCGTTGGCTTTGCAGAATCATGATTACCTGAAGATGCAGCTCATGTATCATCTTTGCCAAGCAGGAGTATTTCCAGTGCAGAGAAGGAAGAGGACTCAGACCACAAGAAAGCCTGAGGTCCAGTCATACCTGAGCTCCATTCTTCTTAGTCAGTCTGGTTTATATCTTTGGCACAGTGAGGGATATCACAGCATTGTTGTGCTCTTACTCTAATTGGATTTTGTTAAGTGATTTTCTGGTTTTTATAATAAAGACTTCTGACTGGCACCAAAATGTAGAGCGAAACCAAATCATGGGGATTCATAAAAGCCAAGCAGAGAGTGTGTTTAAGCATGATAGAGAATGACACCATCAAAGCTTCACATGATCTGAAAACTGAAGTGATCAAAGTAGCTTTAAAAAAGAGGAATCTGGCAGCCATATTCAGGACTGATTATAGGATACTAGAGTCATATAAGCCAACACAATGGTTTGCTGAGTTTGTGAATAATCCGATGCGCTAACAAAACTGATATGTACTGTTGCATAAATGACTGCCACATATGTTTTATTACTCTATGTGCTTACTAAGTACTTTATGTATTAATATATTATATTGTCACAATATTTCAAAATAGGTGGTTACCAATTTACTTTAGAAGAATTAGATACATATAAGAACCAACATCTGAATGAGTTCTTCAGCTGGAATTAGATTTCAGTTCTCGCATCCTGATGCTTTTTTTCTCCAACATTTTGGATAACAAGGTATCATTTCATCATATATCTATCTTACATGGCAAATGTTAATAATCCTGGTTCCCTGAGAAGTCCATGCCAACCACAATATAATTTCATAGGAACATTACCAAATTATCTTGTGAAAGTTTTTTCAGTCATTTAAATCAGATAACAGAGTGGTTTAAAATAATTATCTCAAAGAACTTCAAGTGCAATTATCATTTCTGATTATCACATCTCCTAAGTCAAGTAGCATTTATACATATCTCAAAAGGTTTCTTAAGTAATCACCAAGACCCCAAAGTGAGACCAACGCTGTAGAACAACAGGCTAACAGGCTGATTCATTGAGAATTCCAGTTCTGGAGAAGACAAAAATCTGAATCAGTTCAATTTAACTGACTTCAGAAGAGACATTTAAGAAAGGAGTGTGATAGGTGAGTCTCAGAATTTCCTAAGATGGTGGAAAATGTCACTAGAATACAGAAATGAAAGGAGTCTGGAGTATAACGTGGGTGGGGTTGGGGACATGGGTCCAGGCATACTAAAAGGGGAGAAGATAAGAACAGTGAGTGCATAGAGGCCAGAGGGCTGGTTACACCATGCTCCCCTATACACTGAACTGACAGGATGTCATCCCAGCAAAGCAGGAATATTGTAGCTGAGACCAAATGCCAGAAGGAGGCAGCAGGATAAATCAACATGAAAACCATCTTTGGATAGGAAATTGGTAGGAGGGAGCAAAGTAACACTACACCATCTTTTCCTAAACTACAGGAGCTATCATTTTATCAACATTAGATGTAGTCTCTTTAGAAAGTCCTAGATGAGAAAACATGCACACGTGTTTTCTATTTGCCCACACATATTCACACAGGGGCTGCTAAAAGTTTTCCTTCATAAGGGACATCCCCACACTGTGAGTCTGGCCACCATCTGAAACTGAATATTTTCGTGATCCTACCCCTACCCCATCAAGAGCAGGCAGCAGGTCATTCAAAAGACTGTAGGCTAAACCCAGGCCCAGTGGCACACCTATAATCCCAGGCCTTGGAAGGCAAAAGCAGAATGACCATAAGCTCGATTCTGGTATCAGTTATATAGAGAGTTAGATACCAGCTATGTTGGTGCCTTGTCTCAGAAAACAAAACAAGAATGCAATTATAGAAAAAAAAAAGTAATGTTAAATCTCTGATGTACATATGGCATTAAAGGAAAGCACGCATCAATGAGCTGTACCTGATGAGCACAGTGAGCAGAACCGATAGACTATACATTGTGAAAGAGGTAAATATTGTTAATTAATGGTATTTGATGCTGAAACTATAAAATGAGAGGAAATATTCTTTAAGAAGCAACAGAAGATTTTACTGTTACTTGAAATAAAGTACTCAGTAGATAGGATGGATAAGGTTTCAAAACGGGAATAGTTATCAAATAAGAAAGGTATAAAAGCATAGGGGAAGAGTCCTAGAAAACACATGAGGAACAAAATTGAATTCTAAGGAGGTGGAGTGGACAAAGAAAGTGTTTTAGCATCAGTGGAGAAATCCCAGAACTTAAGACACTAAAACTCATAGAAGTGCACATTTTGAAATATTAGTCACTGAAGCAAACCTCTTATGTAATCATCAATTGGAAACTCAGACTCTATGAGCTCATAGCATTGCATATGCAAGGAAACATGAAAATACGTTTCATCACACTCAAATGAATTTTAAAATATTAGTAACAGCTGGCCATGGTGGCACACGCCTTTAATTCCAGCACTTGGGAGGCAGAGGCGGGCAGATCTTTGTGAGTTCAAGGCCAGCCTG